TACTTCTAAATTGGAACCGCACTCAAAAAGCCTGAAGTTGGTTACTTTGTCTTTCCTTCCCCATTTGTCTTCCTGGCAATCAAAGCACTTCGTATTCACAAGCCCCTGAGATACAGGAACTCTCATCTCTGCCGATATCTAAGCAGGTTTCAATCCCACTTTCCAGACACTCCTTCTGGTTTCGTTTTCAATCTCCCACTTTCTGACATAACATGTGCCCAGGTTGGTGTTGCCTGTGAACTATCCCGGCAGGTTCGGCAGCTTCTGTGTCTCAGACACACGATCATCTCTCCGCTGCTCCGAGGACATCAGCGCTGGTTGCACGCGTCCCTTAGATGGGCTAGTAGCTCATGGAGGTTCCCTAGGGGCTGAACCACCAAGAAGGACTATGGCTGAGGCCGAGTCTGTGCAATTTAGAAACCCCGGGAAGCAAGGACTAGGACCGCGTGGGATAGAGGAGAAGGCACTTTCTGGAGGCCACTCGTGCCTGGAAGCAGGAGAGGAGACAATGAAATGTTCTTTCATGACACAACTGGAGTTTGAGCACTTAGTGTGGGACACAGGTAGTTTTCTAAAACTCCTACCTGCCTCGGGCCACTCCCTTCAACGCCTGGCCACCCTCAGGAGAATGTCAAACTTCCTACGGACTCACCAGGCCGGCCTTTCCAGTCTGTGTCTTAGTCCATCTCTCCACCTACCACTCCAGACCCTCCTGATGTTTACAAGCGGGGAACATACTCCGCAGCGCAGGACTTTGCATGTGGGGCTCCGTGACTTCTATTCCTGTCCCCTCAGGAGGTCCCAGCCCAGATGTCCCTCACAGGACACGCTTCCCGAGTCCCCAAGACTGGGGTCGGTAGTCCTCCTGGGAGTTCCCTGAGACCCTGGGTAGATCTTTACTGAAACAGGTATCGCTTCCTTTGTAACATCCCATTTCTTTGCAGCATTTCTTATTAGAGCCTCACAAACCCCTTCAGTGCACAGATAGAGGACCCTCCCCTGCTCTGCCCAGAGCGGGCTCAGGCCTGGGTCAGGTCAGTATTTGCTAAAATCAGGTAAACCCATGGCTTGTATTTGTGAGGCGTTGCCATGTGCTAATTACCATCCGGTTCCATCTGGTTTCCAGTGTAATGCTGTGTTCTTTGTTGTGTGCTCCATCTCTGTTTCTCCAACAAATAAGCCAGAAAGAAATATTGATCCCAAATTCACATGGGTTTTGCAGAACAAACCCAGAGACAAGCTTTTCTGTTTCTGGCCAACTGTTTCTCAAGATGACTCAGTGGGCCCTGACTTGGCCACAAACACTGGCTGAAGCAATCACTGTCCACCCAGACGACACACCACATGAACGTCAGAGCCCTTGCAATGGCAGACGCTGCTCCCATCTATGGGAGTTTGCGCTGCCTGCTTCCTGACTCACAAAATTCACATTTATATAAATATTTCTCCCAGATTGCTCTTTTATAATCACTTCCTAAGTCAGTGTCCACATGCAAACACACGCACGCATGCACACCGTCACCACCCTCATTATCACTCACATTCCATGATCAAGTTACTGCTATTATGAAGGAAAGAAAACTGGACACTGTTTTTGCTGTTTCTCTGTGGGGACCATCCCTTCTGATTTCTTTAGCTTCTTCTTGGGGGCTCTTGAAATCTCGCAGCCTTGCTAATTGCAAAGAACCCCACAATTAGCTTTTACCCATCCCCACGGTGCTACAGGCACCCCAGTGTCTTGGCCCCAGAATGCAACATTGTTCTCCCCAACGGGAAGCTACATAATCTTACTCAACACATAGCAGAAATGTTTTAAAAAGTCACATGATCAATAATGAATCCCAAACAAACAATAAAAACCTCCTGAGACAAATAAAACTGCCTGATGCCCATAGAAAAAAGTCACCCTAGGTGTTCCAACCAGGAGACAAATGGAGGGCAAGACAAGGAAAGTTAGTGGGGCAGAAGAAATATTATCTGCCACTCAAAGAGATGGACCACGCCTCTCCCTCTCATGTTTGTGACCCTCATAAGGGCCTTTTCAACAGTTTAAAAGTGAAAATACTCTTTAGCATCACCACTTGTTGACAGACATAGAAAATGCAGCGCCACTGGCTTCCTCCCCTCCTTTTCCTTGAGGTGGTCCCAGGGCACCACCTCAGGGTCCTAACGGGGGGTGGGGGGGGGGGGCATTTAGCCTGCCTTTCTTGACAAACTGCATTTCGGCGTGACCTAACTTTCTCTTTACAGAAAAGAAAAATTCAGCTACTCAGTAGAGAAAATAATATTAGATATTTTTAAATCATTATTTTGCAACTCCTATTAAAAGTATAGGCTGAAACCATTGTTTGTAGATGCTAAAGCCAGTAGATGACAGGTTATCAGGGAGCTGTGTCATGGAAGATACTGCTGACTGACACTACTTGAGCCCTCTGATCAACCATAACCGCTGTAAATGGTAGGAGGTAACTCAGGAGGAAGAGAACAGCACCACCTGGGAAGAACTCTTAGCAAAGTCATGGAAGCCCAAGCCAGTTCAGCCTCTGGAAGGAGCTAGTGGTGTACAAGAAATGCAGGGAATAGAAGCATGAGTTCAAGGGCACCAAGGGGAGGCAATGACAGAACACATAAAGCAAGAGAGGTTGCAGAACAAAGGTTGCGGGTTCGTGTGAACAAAGGGTAGTAATAATTCACATAAGAAAATGTCACCTAATCCCCTAAATGCCCAAAAGGCACTTGATAGCTCGGAATATTCTTGTCTAATAAAAAACGCATAACAATTTTGGAATTGAATAGGCATAATAAAGAAAACTGATTAAAAACTAATGGCAAACTTGATGGTAAGACACTGGAAGAATTTCAATTAAATTTCTAAGTAACACAAGAAGACCACTATTACCGCAAATATCTAACATTGCTCTGGGAGTTTTAACTGATACTATAGGCTTAAAAAATAGGAACTGTAAATGTTGAATAATTATTTTGAGTTTATTATTATTTGTAGATGATCAACCTGGAGAACACAAAGGAATCAAATAAAAAAACTAATAAAAGAACAGATAAGGTGTTTAGCAAAATAATTTTATAAGACTGGCTTTATTTTATGTCATATTTTAAAACCAGCAAATATATAATATTATGTATATATATGCATATACATATGTATGTATGAATATGTAGGAATGTGCCTCAAGAATTTTCAGGAATTATAAAAAATCTGTAAATTCCATAAAGGTAAACAAATGTCTTGAATAAATGGAGTTAATGTGCTATGTTCCCCCTTGGCAAGACCCAATTTGGAGAAAACAATAAAAAAATTACTTTAATTTCCCTGGAATTTTATAATCGCTTACATTTTGAGCAGGCTGGGCCGTGAACTACAGTCCTGTCAGGCCTTCTGTTCACCACACTCTATAGGGGCCGGCAGAGGCCCTTGGGGTGGGGGGGTAGAGGGG